TTATATTTTCATTTATAATACGTTAAGTTATTTTTTAGACTTTGATCAGAAGTGATGAATTCGTTAGTTTTACAATATTTTGTGTGTTGGTCGCTTAAACTTTGGTATTGTGATATCGTGATGAGTGGTTACTTCATCTATTGAGGTCTGTGTACGATCGACTATTATATAATACGCTTATAATAGTTAAAATACTTTCAGTAGATATAGCGGAACGACATGGAATTATTCAATAAATACACAAATTCTAAATAGGTACTATTAACATTTGCGATTTCTCATTAAAAATCTAAGACTTATTCAATACCCGCTACCAAAGTTTGTGCCATAAAGCATATCATATAATTTTTCCATTTTAAAATTATTTTATCGACTTTTAATATAGATTGTCATAAATGAATGCAATAAATTAATAGATTCTACAATGTTGTGTGTTTTTTCAATATTATATAATATTATTGTTTGTGTGTGTCGAAAGTCATTTTTTATAATAAAAAAAATCTTAAAATCTTCAACTTTAAGAGAGGTTTCTGGTGACAAATTAGAGTTTGTATTTTGGAATTAGACTGCTTAGAAAAAATTTCCAGTAAATTACTGCAATAAATAATCCGAAAAATGGAAAAAAAATTCTATACTGAAAATACCGAAAATTCTAAATAGGCATTTCTCCTATAGCTTAACTTTAAATAACAATAGGAAGAAATCAATTAGTTACCTCTGCACCTTTAAGACCACGGTATTCGACAAGTTTCAATATTATCTAATATAGTAATATGCATATATGTATGTAATTATGTTTAAATTATTAAAAATTTAACGAGGCTTTACAGTTTACAGGTTCAAAATCATACAATTTACGATGACTTTTATTTAAATAAGTAGCATAACCCCTACCTCCCTCTACGTGTTTGTAATATAGCAGCGTGAAGGTAATTTTAAAGGCATGGAACTCTAGTCTTACTAGCGGTTAGCTTGATGCTTAGAAAGTCAATAGTCGGAAGTCGGTAGTAAAATATTTATTATTAATGATTTATTTAAGTATAAGTGTTTTACGTTTTTCTTAGTCTAGTCATGGGGTTAGGTAAACAAAAATCGGTTTTTCAAAATGATTTCTAGATTGCACTGCCATCACGTGTGCCACAACCAACTGAAAATTATAATTTTGGTAGGTTTGTTAGGAAAATGTGTTCGGTAAGTAAATATACATATGTACTCCACTGGTTATATACAAATTCTAACTTTGAGTTACAATTTGAAACTATTAATCTTAATAGACACAGTTTGTAACAGCGTATTACATCATTTGTTATTATATCTATTATAAATTTTAATATTATATTAAATTGTAACTCGCTGATTAAATATGTTATAACTTATTATTTATTATTTTGCTGATCTACGCAGCAATGTAGCAAAATTGACTATACGTTGCGCCGGATAAACCGGTCAGTCATTTTATTGTCATAGATATTATTACAAATTAAAAAAATACTACAGTTTTTTATTTAATAATTTTCCCTACATCTACAGAGGTTGTTAGCTATAATTTATATTAACCTTTTCATATATCCTATATTTTCAGTTTTCAGTTGTTTGATCATGACAATAGTTGTAACATGATTAAATTAAATATAATATAATATTTATAATTTTTAATAATATCTAAATTAGGATTAACTGTAGTCGGCAATTTCATGATCGATTCATAATTATTCAGTGACAATTATTTTTATATTGTTCATTGATAGTGATTCGTGTATCTTCTTTTGCAGTTTTCGAACTGGATAAATTCAAGTCAGATCATCTAAACACCGTGATTCTTATGAAAGTCCTGCACCTTTCATGACAGGGCGTGGGATGAGTATGTTCTGGCTGCCAATGTGTATTCGTTGAGTTCATATTTTTTACTTTATAGCGTTCAAATAATTTGTGTTCCAGAGCCGAACCTGGCGAATCGCAGCAATACAGGGGTCGTACCGCCCAAGCTATATTGGACTGCGAAACAAAGGCTATGATCTTGATAATAAAAAAATCAGTTTTCATCGTTTTTTTGTGGAATTTATATCAATTGAAATTGATGAAAAAAATTATAGAAGTAGCTGGTTAAACAAAAGCGGGGCCTTCAAAAAATAGAATTTCCTGGTACATATTTGGGGCTAGTCCAACCCTGCTGTGTCCCCACGATCAGCCTATTTTAAAATGATTTAATTTCAATTGTTCGTTTCCAGTTTCATTTCAAGAATGACTGCAGATTTCGTCGGCCGTCTTCCCGTCTATTACGGTTTAATGACATAATACTATCCAATATTTTGTTTGTGTGTACTAATTATAATAATATTGTACAATCTTAAGCGTTGCGCGATTACGTAGTTAGAAACAGTTCCTGCGTTCCACTAACTGATATAATATAAAAGTTGCCGAGCTCCGAATACATAAAAGTATAGTAGTATATGCGCTAAAGTTAATTGGCTAATGGCCTTAGCTGTCGAAACAGACATTTATAAAATGCCAAGTCAAATAAAAAAAAAGTTGTTTTGTTAGACACGCGTATAGTTGTGACTTTACATCAAACTAATTTCTTAGTTTCCACAAAAAGTATAAACTTATTAGGAATCTTGTATCACATTTTTTTTCGTGGATTATGTATCTTAAAAAATACTGGAATTTTTACTTTTTATTCCATAAAGTACTGGTAAGATTCAATTTTTAACCTTAACCACCTTCAAAGTTAAAACTTGAATCCTTATTTTTGCTCTTAAACGTCACGTCAGAATAAAAAGTATATAAACCTATAAATAAAATACTAAATTGTATTAATAGATAATGAAATATTTATAGGAAAGAAGAACAACATCGTACATAATTACATAATAAATAAAATATAGGATCTTGACATATCAAGTCGAGTGCATTTCAAACGCTCATAAAAATGTTATTAAACTTTCCGGTTGACATTTTTTTTATATATAAAGATAGACAAACTTATGTGGAATTTTACATTAAATTTTAAAACCTTTGACATAAAAAGAAAAAATGTTATGAATTCCTAACACAAAATAATTTTGCAAATTTTCGTTCACGAAGTACCCATAGTTTATTTGTAGGAATTTTGTCTTAAATCTTTTTTTTTAATTTCTATTTACAAAAACTTTTGAGGATTCTTGTATTACATTTTCAAGTTTTTTGACCTATCAAAAATTGTTTCATCGACATTATTTTTAAAAAAAACTAATAAGAGTCAAAAATTTCACATGCGTATAATAATAGCTTGACATGAGTCGAAATATTTTGAAAAATTAATGGTGTATAGAAAATGCTAATATATACATTCAGTGAAAGAAGTTACAACAAAAACGATTTTGTCAATAAGGTCCTTTTTTTGGTCTTCATAAATGTATTCAGTTTAAGTAGATCGTTCCCTCACTGAATTTTTGTGTATTCAAATGCAATGTTCCTTCATTAATTATTATGTTTTGTAAGGGTCTGGGCGTAATCATGTATCCTATTTCATATTATTTGTAGTCAATGTGAGTTGAATGCGTATTGCCAATTTTTGTTCGTGATAGTCATAGGTTATAGGTAATAGGTCAAGAATAACGATATGAATAGCATTAAAAATTTAATGTAATCGGAACGTTTCAATTTCAATTGTTAATTATATGTGTTTAAAAAACATAACGCCGTGTCCTAACTCGACGACGAGACAAAAAACAAAACAGCTTGTATTTTGCGTACATCGTCTTCACTTAGGACACGGCGTGAAACTTTGAAATGAAGTTGCGTTAAATCGTAATTTATCGTATATTATAATATGTATTCTATAAGCCATGCCTTGTTCTATCTAGGGTATTATTTAATTGATTATTGAATAATTATTATTTTTATTTCGGTGTGGAATTCCCATGGATGCGTGTAATCTGAGTTAGGAGCACACAATAGGCAACTCATCGTACAAATCGGCCATTGGCGTTATCAGAATTCTCTTATCAATGGTTAGGCCGTTCGCTAACTCACGCACGTAATGTATAATCAACAACGTCAACCAAATAGATTCAAAAAATGTACAATACACAATTCGCACCGTGAATATATTACATTCTTTCGTTTTTACTGATTAAATTTTTCGACGGTATTATCGGCTGTCGAACTCTATAACAAAATAAAATGGAAAATTTATCTATACCTACGTTAAGAGTACTATATAAACATTACGTCAACTGGGTCAGTGCACATCCAGAACGGACCACAGATCTAGAAGCTTCAATAAAGTGGATATCGTATTTTTTAGCTGGTATTTTATTTATAAATAATGTAATCCAATTATTCACTATAGATTAGCGCGTATTTGCAGGTCGAATCAACAACTCGACATTACTATCTGAGCTCATATATTCCATGTCCAACTTCATGATGTTATTTAACGATCAAATTATACTAAGTACTGCCAAACCTAACTCTGTAACTGTCAGCGATAAAGGAAAGAAAAAAATATTTAGCTCTGAAAATATCAAGCGTTTCATTACCACAGTGGATTATGTTGAAGTGTTTATAGAAATATCTGCTAAAAAATTATGGGGCACCAAAGGACGATGGATTATTATTGTACTTTTGCAGACCGTAAAGTAATTATTAAGCTTTCTTTTTTACTCACCTCTTCGACATAGTTTATGTTAAGTAGGGTCTACAATCATTTGTTGGTATACGATTGTTAGATTTTCTGTAGATGCGGAGCCTAGCTGTATAAATTATTTCATATTTCTAAATACATAATTCAATTAAACTTGTACACAAGAAATATTAAAGAATCAATCAATTTTATTAAAAGCATAGATGATAAGATTACATCTCCAACGTTCATAGTTTTCCATATTAAATTATTAGATTCATATTAATAATATATCCAAATAACAAATTATAATTATATAAAATAAACTTAGTAATTTCAATTCATAAAAAAATGTTTCACCCCTAGGTGCATTGGTATGTATTTTATAATATGATTATTTTGATTTTTCACCACCAACGCTCATAAATGAAAGATATGTATTCCAAGCTAATGACACTATTTGCACTGTTAAAACCCTGTATTGCTGTGGAACAATGGTGAAATTAAATGTCTGTACAGCTGGCCAAATCTATGGAAAATATTGTAGAACATGGTATTAGATATAATTAAAAAAAAATTCTATTAAATGTCTTTACCAAGTAACTAGTGAGCATAACTTTCACATAATTGGCTTCCAGTTTATTTTGTATTTGTGGCCATTCGTCACCACTGAACACTCTACTCATAATCATTACAGCTCCATTAATAATTGGTGATGCAATCATTTGATCGACTAATATTTTTTTAGCCACTATTGGTATTGTGTTTTTAGTTCCTAATCTGTCCAACGTTTTGTACCACATAGTAAGTGTAGGTCCAACCGCACATCCAATAGATGCATAGCGAACTGTACGTAACCAATCAATTTCATCAGGTTTACGCTTTTCTACTGCGCTTTGAGCCATTAAATCACCGAGACCAAATAATAGACCTTAAATATATAATGAGTATTTAATTATATTTATACACAAATTTACACTAGTTACATACCGGTTTGAACGAGATTGGTCCTTATTGGATACGTGTGGCTGTAAAATCTGTACCATTTAAAAAAAGATGCCATTTTTATTGTTCGTTGTTGCCTGTATGGTTTGTATTTTACCAAGTCGAAACTGCTGTTGGTTTTTACTTTGATATGTTTAGTTTGATCAATGTCCTATTTGCTGATGATTTTAATGCCCTGTACAGATCAAAGTTAAACGTTGGTAGTTTTCCAATTTTTTGTTTCGTAGTAGATTGTTACCACATGGTCAGTAGTCACCACCGATTTTAATTCGATAAAACTTGCCTTTGCCTAATGCCTTTAAACCATAGTTCAGTATTCACGGCGTTAATAGTATTCAAAACTGTTCTGATTGCAACTTGTTAGTAAGTTTGTAACCGGTTGATTAAATTTTATCGTCTTATCTAAAACGTTGTCAGCGGATATACTGTGTACACTGTACAGAGCGTTCCTGATGAGATAGTATATTACCGCTCTTAACTTTCAAAACAACACTGTTATGACTGCGATCGACACGTGACGTGGCCACGTGGGGGTGGTATTATATAATATTTATGTCGTAATGTCTCATTTCGATTTCAAAATATATTATTTTTGAAAGAACCTTAGTTATTTATAACCACCTACAACATTCTGTTAATTTCGCTCAGCGGTTGTAGGTAGTCGTTTAGAATAGGTACTAAACCGTAGCTATAGGTATATATTTTGTAGTATTCGTATTTACATTATCTACTCGATAATTATATATTCGTTCGTGAACTCACGCCTGGCATATTATTATTATTCAATTTATGTACATATTACTACTACTTATTACATATTATATACGTTATAGCCTATTTAATTTATTTTAATAACTTTCATAGAATTTTCGACGATGGTTTAAAATTCGATTTGATATTAAGTAAGTTCCTATTTATTCCTATTATATTTGTCTTGAAATTCGTAATAGGTTATAGATAGTAATATCTAAATCATAATTTTTAATGATCCAAATTCTACTGCATAATACGTGTAAAATATTCTAATATTTAAATATTTTTAATGCATAATAGTATTTCTTACGATATCAGCAGTTGTAGTCTACTATTTGTAAATAATCTCGCTCTTCTTTCGATATCGAGCTTAACCGGCTAATCCTTTATTTATATTGATCTCTCTTAAGTGTACATGCAAAACAGCACTTGGCTGCAAGCAAGTCCATAGGCGCAACTAGGGATATTTAGCTAGAATTGTATCAGCAGCACAAACCTTGATAATTAATATTTTTAATTAAATATGATTTAAAAACTGAAGGGCCAATGCCCCCGAACCTCCACTAATTGCTCATGTGTAGCAAGCACCTATAGGAAATTGCTTGAGTTCACCCCCCCCNAAAAAAAAATGATTTTTTTCAAAAACATAATATTATACGTAACTTTAAATTTATAATTTGTCAATGATCCCACCCTGCCCAAAAATGTTTCATGACTGTGTATGTGTCAGTTGTCTATTCTTAGTAAGCATGTAGCCGGTTTTGGGATTTCTGCTCGCAGTTCGCACAAAAAAAACGGCCCAAAATCCAAATACCCAATATTTTTATATTTGCATAACGCCGGAAACGTTTAAACAAAACAATAATAGTTAGGCAATATACCTGAATGGCTGAATACCTAATTAAACCATATTTTTATAAAATAATATATAAAAACAGACTACATTGGATCAAAATATTGTGTCTTTACGTGTTGTGTTGTACATTATACATATAATAATAACTAAAAATCATGTAATAAAAATTATATTATTGTTTAACTACGTTTTAATAACATTTGTCTCACGGCGACTTATTTTACAGATGCATGGCGCGTCTGTACCTGTTGCACGTGCACAAGCTCCACATACTCGAATCACCCCCAATACAGCCTTTGGATCGGAAATCTGTGGGCCTCAATTGTAACGACGCTGTCGACGGAGTCATAACGCTACCTTCAGGACGAACCATTCGCAAAATGGACCATGGTAATACAACAAAATACGCATTGTAAAATTAAATTATTAATATTTCTCATATTCTTAGTACTTACTGCTTTACTGTTTTCCAATTGCGTTTTCAGCCCCTCCAATGAACAAGCGCACGTGGGAAGCCCCCCCAAGGGCGGACAGGCTCGGCGGCAGCATACCCGGCAGAGCTCTGAGTGACATACACATTGTGGCGGAGGTTCGATTCACATCACATGATTATTATACTATACATTTTATATTATGTCATTATGATAGTCTAGTGATGGTGGTGGACTATTGATTTGGTTTTTGGAGAAAGGCTTTGGTCTTGAACACATTTTAATCATTATACCTACTTAAATATTCTGGAGGGGGTAGAGCTTGTTAAGATTAGTATTAGGTCTATGATTTCAATGCACTAAAAACCCATAACTATGCATACACTTGTGCATTAAAAAATAGTAAATTATGCATCAAAACATGCAAGATTATATAAAATAAATTCAAAAGGTACAATAAGCTAATAATAATTTATCCGATAATATTAAAAATGTATTTAAACAAGTATATTATTAAAAAAAAAAATGGGCACCATCTATCGAAAAACGTTACTTCAAAAAGCTCCCTAAACAGCTTGGGAGCTACTGTAATCGATTATACCTGTTGAAATACTGGTATTTCCACTCATGTTAAAAATATTAATAAAATATAATAGATTATACATTGAACATACCATACACCCATATATATTAAGCGAAAACAAACTTAACCCATCACAAAATCCTTGATTGACATTGGACTTGTTAGGGGGTAGACTGTTTGAATTTAATTTTACTTTAGGCTTCAAGGTTTGCTCTTGAACAAGTTAAAGCTCCTTCAGACACCCCCATAAATACAATACTGATTAGAATAAATATGAAATAATTATGTACCACTATACTACACTAATATAATATAGTAAACTTGAAATAATAATTTTATTCAAACCAATTTTGTGTATCTATGAATAATGATTATTAACTTGGTACAGAAGTGAATATTAAAAAATTATGATAATCACACACACGTTCTGTGCGTGCTTGTTATATAAATAAATATACAAGTACTTACTATATGAAATTTGTAGTTGAATATGTATACTTAAAATATTCACAGTTAACATACACTTTTAATAGTTAATAAAAAACATTTTAAAAATAATGTTAATGATTAACAAAAATAAATTATTTTGATTTTTTCAAAATTAGATATCTAAATTAATTACTAACATCTTTGGTAATTCTTTAGTACAGCTTAGTTAAAAATAACGTTTAAATAAATTAATAATATATATGATAGAAATGAAATCATACTTTAAGTTTGATAAAGCTCAAGCCATGTATTGAAAAACTAGTAATACTCATTTTCCATATCCTGCATTTTTTACTATTCAATATATTTTCAACCATCAAATTGTTTATTTCATTTATCATAATTTTTTTTTTATGAACTATTAAGTAGTGACTACCTAACTATCAACTTAATTTTAATTTAAAAAAAATACTCTAAAACTTTTGCTCGGAGATGGCGAAGGTTTTAAAAGTGTTATCATTTATTATTTCAGACAATGTACATAATGAAACCAATTGTTCACTTGGGTAGTATGTGCGTGTTCGGAGAGAAATCATGGAAGCCTTGGTTGATTTCCATAACAATTGAATACATTAGGTAATAATTGTGTAGCAGAACAATACTTGCAAATATTTGCATTAAACAAAATGATTTGATCGTTATTATTTTTGTTGTATGTTTTAGTCTGCAGCGATTAAAATCTTTAAAAAACCTCACACCTCAGCAACGTTTGGTGCTGTCAAAACGATCACTACATTTGGCCATGTATATAGTGAGATCACCATTCTTTGAGAACTATTCAGAAAAACATATCCGTTTATTCTTGAACTGGTTTGTTAACTCTGTGCCGTTGGTTGGCCCACTCATGCGGCCTTTCCTAGAATACATGAAACAATGGCAAGAAACATATTTTTACCTTTGGTCTGTCTAACACCTTTTTGGAAATTTCTGTTATTTGGTTTTATACATTTTTATAAATTAAAAAAAAAACACTGTTTAGGGGGTTACTATTAAATTATTGATCTTTTTTTTATCGGTATAATTGTTATGGTATGTGTTGTTGTATACGGTGATTTTTTTTATATAAACTACAGTATAAATGTTTTGTAGTAAATGCTCAATTACGATGTAATTCATTCATTTAAGTTTTGTAATTATTTACTATGTATATTGTATACCTACTATTTTCATTGACAGGGTTCAAGTACTTATATTATATTTTACCTATTTAAAAATGTAAAACTAGAAAAAACAATATATTAAGTAAGATAAATTATTGAAATTCTTCATTTAATTAACAGGGTGAGAAAAATAAATCCCAATATAATTTTACGATATATTATATACCTGTTACTTTCTATAGGCGAGTTAAACATAAATATTGCAATATTGCAATATGGTACTCAAATTATTCTAAAATTGTATTGTTGTAAAGCATGAATTAAGATATTATATATTAAGTATATCTTAATTGATGGTGGGTAATTATGAAGCATTTTATATGGGTTGGTACTATAGTCTACAAGGTAATAATAATATAAAAAGGTAGATAAATTGGAAGTAAAGACAGATTTTTAAAGGTAGTTTTATAAGTTAACCAAGTGCATGAACTGTGTGTATGCATATGAATATATGATGTATTAACTAGAACTTGGATTTCAAAAATATCTTGTAAAATATTTCATATTTTCAACAACCTTTGTGTATTAGAGTAAACAAATATGAACTTAGATTATGAACAGTGTTTGGATTGAAAGTATACAGATTCTCTTCATTTAAAAAGAATATTTATGGTATTTTAATACCTAATCAATAAGGTATTAAAATATTCAGGTACGCGCATTATTTTTAAATTTTTGCATCCTACTAATTTTTTTCCAATTCAAGCAATTTAAAAATCTATTTGAGGCATACGTTTGGCGGGCTTGGGTAATCCCTTCTTATTATCAACTCATCAAATGTTTAAAAAAAAAAATTTTCAGTTGAAATAAATATTTGAGAATAATTTATTTGAAATGTTTTTACCCTCCTAAAATGTATTTCTGCATATTAGAGAAGTGGGTGCAAATAGACAATTGTATTTAATTGATAATAATAGTTAAAACAAATCGTACTCAAAATAACAGCCCTTGCTTAATAGTTCCCATGTTATTTATGCTTGGAATAAGAACGTTTGATTATTTGAGACTTCTTGACTAAGTTTAAAAAATATGGAGAAATAGTTGGTAAAATGTAGGTATATGCCTAAATCAATAAGATAAAATGATTTTAAAAAAATTATTATTAATTATAACCCTGAACATTTATCACTTTAAGTACCTATGTGTTGAGCGCCATTAGTCAGCTCAAAACTTAGACATATTAACTAAATTGTTGGTGTAGTTTTAAAATATCAATTTAACTATTTACGTGAGTTAACTTGTGGTCTGTGTGTATAATAGCTATGAGATTTTCATTTAACATTTTTATCTAATCTAAATTATACTACGGTCATATAATAAGAAAAATAGCACAATGAATTTACATTGTGATTGAACTACATTGAATTCGGTATGTTCAAAATCAAGTTATCTATAACCTCGGAATTAAACAGTAATCGCACATTTCAATTTAGCAGATAATCTATGTTACATTTTTTTGTCATACATCCAACAAATGGAACTTCCTGTGATAAACCTGAATTTTTAACATTAAGAATATAACTGTACCCGTATGTGTTGTGGATGCTATGCAAGTTTATGATTATAATAAAGTCAAGTTGAGTGAACACAAGATTATTAAGTTAAAAGTTAATAGTTAACAAATAATAAATTTAACTCAGTTTATAAAAAGTCTTTTTTAATTAGTTCATGGATCACAATGATCACATAAACATTTTTCTATTCATTTTAAGCAATATTATATACATAATATTATTTTATTAAGAAGCATAACAGAAATTATATAGTTACATTGTTTTTTATATAAAACCATGTACACAGTAATGAACGTATAACATTGAAATAAAACCACAACAGGTTTCAAAAACATTTTTTATTTAAACTTGAAGGATTGTTTTTCAATTGATTGAAAAAAGCTAAGCCAATTAAACTGTATAGTTAATTCTTAAGTTAATTGGAAAATTAAAACTGACAAGTTGGTGCTCACATTTGCACAAGTTTATCATAGCAGAATATACATGTCAGATTCTTACAATAATATATTTATTGTTCATATTAGAACAAATTTACTTATTATTGAATTTGTAGAAGAGAACTGTACCCGAACAATAAGTTTTACTTAAAATATTTAATTTTAAAAATTCATATTACTTTTGAAATAAATAGGTATATAAAATAAAACTCTTAGTTCAGGCAGTTTAATTTTTCCTTAACATTGCAACAACTAAGCACCAGGTATAGAAACAAATAGATATTTTATGGTACTTAAATTCGACACTAATATTAACCATAAATAAACTATAGTAAAAATCCGGTAAATAAATTTGTTATACTACTCATGTGTAAGGTATTGTATGTGGGTACAATGTCCTCTTAATAATTGTTGACAATGGTTTCATTTTCTATGTGTACAATTAATGGATCGAAGTAAAAATTATAAAATACCAACAATGTACACATGTTTTTTCTTAATGAACGACAGTTTTCAATAATGATATTGTTCAAACAATAAGTTAGAGATTAATTAAGCCCATGTACCAAAAAAAAAACACTATAATACATAGTATTAAAAATATTTAATGAATTTCAGTGTATAGAAACATTATCAAAAGATAAATTATATTATATCTATATTTAATCAAATAAATATATACATAGTTAATAATTTACATTTAGCTATGTGAAAAATATCAATTTTTGCAAGTTCTCAGTATTATGTGTTTTTATTGTTTGTGTAACACTCCATTAGTGGTATTTATAATAAGTTTGAGAAAACCAATCAAAATTAATGTTGTTTTATTTGTAGATAGTTATTGATTAAAAAATAAAATATAAACAACATTACAAAATATAAAAGATGCCTTCTAATAAAAATAGAAGTATAATAAAAACAATATTTTTATTCTCAAATAAACAATCAAGAAGGAAAATTTTGGAATCAAACATTGAAGATATATGTTGGTACATAATATTTTTGAACCCAGGACAAAATGTGATCCTAATAATCTTTAAATAATCTGTTACATACTTACATGCTCTTTAGCCTTTATTAAAATTATTCATCATCAACAATGAGTAGAGTCAATGCCAAACGAATTGGTGTTTAGCGACACACCTACAGTTGGTAAGACAAATTTATTTGGTGCACAATATAAAACCACTGAGTGGTGACTCAGCCAGGAGAGTTTTTGGTGTTTAAACCATCCTCCCTTGCTTTTTATTCCCTCGATAAATATGAATATGATTTTTGTGGGTGAATGTAATCTAAAATAAGCAATTTTAATTGCTAATAGTCAGCTAAAGGCGGAGTCATAAACACTAGTTTGTGTGAGGTTGAATAATAGTTTAGAAGTTTAGAATGCCAGCAGTAAGTTTTTTCAATATTTATTTTTATTACATTTTGTCTTTGATCTTGACACTTTCTTAAATCATCTTTAGTATTTCTTTTAATTAATTTTACATTAATATATGCAACAAAATTTAATCAATTAGAATTAAATAGATCATACATGAATCAATGCTAATAATATAATATTATATTCTATGTACAAAACATAACTAAAAAAATATTAAATAGTTAACAGAGTATTTTTTTTTTTTTACATTCTAATGGCAAATTAATATTTGTATAATAATAATTAATAAGTATTATTAGTAAATGTTTCTTTAAAAAATACAATTAACAACGGTTTATTACCAATAATACATTTCCATTCAGAAAATAACAATAGCTTACCATTGTTGTAGTAACAGATACTATTGTATTTTAATAAATATTAGTAACATAACAAAATGGAAATGAGTGATTTAATTGAAAATCAAGTTAATTATTAGCTAATGTTTTAAACTACATGTTTTATCTGGCTCAATAATAAAATAATTAAACATTTTCAATTGTTTAATTATCCCTAATGCATTATACTAAAAAAGTATCTAGTAAAATTGTTTGTCATATTCAAGTTATCCATTTATTGATTCAGATTTTGATTTGATCTATAAAATCATGATTTGGAACATACTTAGATACTCAACATGTTGATCACTCCTTTGTGTAAATAATAATAATAATAATTAATAACTGATTTTAATTAAATGCTGTTAAAGTAAATATATAACTATCTACACATTTTTCTAATATATTATATATTTGATAGAGTAGATAATGCCAGTAAATAAATTATCATTAAAATTAATGGAGTATTAAGAAAAAAAATTGTTTGAAATAAAAATATCTGTTTCTATCTACCAATTGTTCCCTCAATATAACAATAAGCTTTTTTCATTAAATAAATATAAATTAACAAACATTTTAAATTAAAAACAACCAATACTCCAAAAATATTAATTGGATCACAACATCTTTTTTTGGCAAAGGAACAGACAGTACATAGTAGTCCATATATATCATTATTGTTTTCTTCTTTAAATATATTATACATACTATTTGATATTAAAAACTAATCAATCTGTTTATGATACTGATTCTACATAATTGGCTGGGTATAATCCGACTCGGCCATCCTTACGTCCCTTGCACCAGCCTTGTTCATCTTCATCTTCTAATTTTTCAAATAACTCCCCTAAAATAAAAAAAATGATTTTAATTATAACTAACTTGTTTAAATGAAACAATCTACTCAAAATTATTAATTTGTTTATTTTTATTATTACCTTGTTTGAAACTGAGCTCATCAGCTTCAGCACCCTCATAATCATAGAGTGCTTTTACAGGTACACCGGGCTCACCGTTGTCCACAAGCGCACCATCGGGACCAACTCCTTCTTCCTCATCCCATTCCTCCTCCTCAAATGGGTTTGAATCTGGGGTTTGGCTATTGGACGCTCCATTGCTATTGAATATATAAAAATAATAATTATAAATACATAAATAAGAATAGCCAGGATAGTTATCACTTATCACTAATCAAACAAAAATAAAACTGTGTCAATTACATACAATATTAGGTTTTCCAATTGTATCTAATGATACTACAAATTAAAAGGAATTTCTAAATACAAAGGAAATATGGAACATGTGTAATCGATCTTACCGATTAACACAGGTATGTAAGGTCCGGTGCACGGCCCCTTCATTAGGAATCTAAATGGCACGACATTTAGGTGTCATTTATAAAGAATAATAATTGTTTTGCTGAACTGAAATATTTTTGATTTTAGTAACTCACGTTATTGGATGCGATTTTGTTCCATTTGATTTTTCTGTTGATTGCTTATGGTCATCGGTACTATCATTTGATCGCGATAATGCAACAGTTGGCTTTTTGCTATTTATTTTTGGATGAGTTGTATGCAAATCCTAAAAAGGTCATAAATAAATGAAAATGTGAATAAATCAAATATAATAACAAAAAAAAACCTCGTAAGTTAATAATATTAACAAAAATTTAAATAATATAAGATTAGTCTCATACACTAATACAATCTTTCTAACTAAGTTGTAATAAGTAAACTATAATTGAAAAAATGCACACTAACATTTACATGCAAATCTTCACCGACTGATCGTTGATTGATTAATGTTATTGTTCCAGCAGGTATAGATTCTTTGGTTTTGCCCTTGGATATATCCCGGAACTCTTCTGTATAATCCTATAGAAGAATAACACGACAACACACATGCACACAAATTAGTTTTTTGACTTCAACTACAATTATTATTATAAGTTAAATCCAAGCCAAAACCAAAGACATTGTATATACATCTAGTAAATAAATCACAAATGGCTTCCTACAGTTAAAATAACGAAACAGTAATACTAATTAATATGTAACTTTACAAACCTCAAATAAGGGCCAATTCATGGCCATATTGACACCATGATTATTTGACCACCACCGTAAATCTTTCTCGTGATCGGCATTATTGATAGTATGATAAAACTCTTCATAAATCTGAGGCAATCTAATAAATAAAAATAAATTTAATAGATTTTCAATCTAATTAAATACATTTTTAATATCTTACACAGGGTCTTGAGAAACATTTAGGCACTTGTGTATTGTAAACAGGGTGTCTTTAAAAAACTGTAATCTTCTAGCTTCCGTTTCTTGGCATCGGTCAAATACAACTGTCATATCTTCCATATATTTTGGATTGTATGCATTTAATTCTTGTAGAGCCATTTCATACTTTTCTTTGGCTTTCTGTACTTCTTCTTTCGATTTGGCTACACGATCTTGCATTTTTTTTACCTAAATAATAAAATCAAATTGTAAGTTTTTAATTAACACATCAAAAAATTAAATAATGCGTTATCAATAGCTATATTTTTACTTGATCCATAGATAAGGAACTGTCAGCAGATGCATTTCGTTCTTGGTTTGAAGCTGATTTCTCTGCCTTACATGCAATATGGTACTCATTTTTTGTTTTGTTAACCTTAGTCAATAGTTTGCACCAAGGTTTTTGAGCTTTTTTAAATGATTCTTCCATTTCTTTTCGTTCTTTTATGTGTAAAACAGTCTGAAGTAATCAATATTAGATTAGTAAGTAAAAGCGCATGAAAAAGTACAATCACATTTTATTTTTGTATTAGGTCAATATTACTAATACCATTGAGTATAAAAACCAAAATAATGAGTATGAAATAATAAAATTGTGCTGATGTGTTTACCTTATGATAATTGTCTTTTTGCCACGTCTTTACTTGTTGCATTATATCGTTACACAAGTCATCCTTCACTCTTATGTGCAAATCACATAGTCTATCCGCTTCAACTAGTACACCCTTCCAAGCTGCTTCTGTCGTTCCATATTCTGGACCTTTTTCAATAATTTCATTCCATTTCTTGGACCACCCTTTTAAGCTCTTGGAATATGCTTTTTCGATATCTGATCGTTCTTGTATGAGGGTAATAAGATCATTACATAATCGATAGCCATCTTCGATACGTTTAGTTGTGCGTTTGTGATTGCCAGGTTCCCAAAACGAATCACTACTTGCTATTAACATATTGTCATCACTGTGATGTGACATTTTTACTGATGTTTACCTAGACACAGTAATAGTTTTAATTAAAACATTATCTAAATAACATATGATTCAGGGTACTTGAAACTGATAGAAGTCATCAATAGTTACATCATTAAGAAATTAATTCTTTCCAAAGAACATACTATATACAGTATACACACGTCATGTCGTCATGTATACAACGAATAAATAATTATGCAATTAATAACCACTTATAACGATAAATGTTATAAAAATGACAAATTTAAATATGTTTTAAAGGTTAAGTAGGGAAAATATATAATAGCTGATGCCAGTGTTGTGTTCAAAGTGAATTATTAATTTAAATTTTAAAACGTTTTAAATATTTATACACATCTTGCAGTTAATAAGTGTTTTGTGAGGTTCCGCCCTTATTTTATTTATCATTTGTGCTCAAATTTTATTATTACACTTTCAGGAACGAATATGAAAAAAACATGGAAATAAAATATAAACCGAAGAGGTAAATTCTATAATATACAATAGGTACTACTACTGTTCCAGGTTCATTGTGTACCTACGCTTTACAACAACAGCGCGCATAATAACATAATATAGTAGTTTTGTTTTAACGAACGCCTTAAATGAATCAGTATTATTCTAATAATTTATTGATACACGTGTGTTAAAATATTCTTGGCCGTGAGGTTGGCTTAAGTAACAAATCGTTTTTCCCTCTACCGTGTATGGTAAATGGTAATACATAAGTACAAAGTACATAATACAATATCATCACCATCATCATGACGAATGATGTCATTTGGCAATTGGACCGTTAATATTATTATGCTGTACGGGTACGGTAGGATTTCTCCGCACGAAATCCATCCAACAAAATATTATGATCGCGTATATTCAGTTCTATTCATTCGTCCCCGCCAAGCGCGAAAACGACGACGTCCGAGACATTGCGGTAGGACGAACACAATACAATAATAACGTTCGTAACTCGACGATATTACTGATACGTTTTTAATATAATATTGAACGGCACGAGAATATTAAGTTATTTTTTTATTACCTAATATTTTACTATATTTAATACTATTAGATACGATATCAACGTTCACGACCGGACAAACGGGAGGTTACCTACCTATCTATCTACATAGCGTCGTGTAATGCGTCGTGTAATGCACGTATGCTCGGCACTGGCACATACTATGAATATTATGTACATACGCGCATTTCCACATATCAAATAGGTATCACATTGCAATTTGAACGCCAGGGTTCGGTTTAAATAAACAAAAAGAGTAAACTTATAATATTATGAGTTATAACGTACGTATAGGTATTTAGCACCTAAAACTATATCTACCTAAGTACCGGTACCCTGAAGTGTATCAAAACCCAAACAACAAAATTGTCTTTATTATAATAATCAATTTATAAAATAATTGTACGTCCAACTTAAATACTATCTGCATGTTATGCGATATGCGTGCTACGCGATACTTGTTTACGTATTATATGGTAGGTACTCGTAGTGCTGCAGCACTAGAACATTATAATAGTAGTGGGCTAAATGTATATTTTACAAACTGTACGTGACGCTACCTACTACTAGTACTTTATACTTACACAGTTATTCGATTATTACAGTTTGAGCACCTATATTTTACACAATTGTCAATTCGTGAATAAATTAAAACTTTATTCTAGTCGAAAAATCATCATCATCCTACATTCCTACTTAGTATTATTTGGGTACCTATATGCTATAGCTTGACACATAAGTGCAATAGCAGCTATATAAATAACAAGTTTATTGAAAAATGAAAATGATTTTATTTGTGTATTTACTCGCATAAATTAGCATACGGAGAACTGCCCAGTAATCATAGCCACTAAGAGGGAGTCATTATTTATATTCCGGTTCATTTACGTAGGTCAGTGTTAAATATTAATGGGATGTACCGTTTACACAAACATAATATAACTCTTGCGAAAACTGTGTTATTAAATGTTATGTAATATATAAATATATATACATTATACAAACATGTATGTTTATATTACAACCTTAATATAGGTTAATGTAAATACAAAAAATGATTCAATTAATTGGCAATGTATAAAAAAAGTAGAATGACGACCAAGAAGGCTATATTTTTGAAACAGAGTTTAGGCGACGTCGTTAAAGTTTGTAATCAGTTAAGACTTATCTATAAGTTAAAAAATACAACAATAAAAAAGATTTCCATGATTATCATAATTTAGAAATAAATGTATCTACAGTGCATTAGTGCTTATATTATATTATTATACATAATACTATAATTATGTATTATAGGAATACAATGATCAAGCTGAGAAAAATAAACAATTAAATTTCGTAACATAACTAAAACTCAATATTTTTTTCCCAGTCGAATTCAGATAATCTTTATAAGTTAGCATCGTTAACTCATCGGATAGACATTTAGGAAACTCAACAGAATGGAATGCGCCGTGAGAAAACAAACATACCGTTGTTAAATATAATACGAGATGATAATAAAGGATACCGGTAGGTACTATACAAATAAATACCTATATCATAATTCATAATAAAATATAAATAATAACGGAAATGTAAACGAAGTACAATAGAATAAATTATACTTTCAGTGTAAACATAGATTTTTTGATTTATAATTATTAATGCCCGCCTTTAATAGCAGAATTAAAAATACCTATTTTAAAATTCTAGAAAAACAACCTATACCAACATCACAACTAGATAAATATAGTCTAAAACCTATACTAAAATATAGTTCAAAATAACAAGTCAAATTACTACAAATTTAAAGAAAAAATTGACATTACTCTTATTTATTAAAATAAAAAAATGTATAATTCATTAAAAGATTATCAACGTATTAAGAAGTATTTTTTCTGATTTTACAATTAAAAATTACATTTCTACGAAAGATAAAACCATTTGTTTATGGAAATCTAAAGACAGTAAAAAATATCACGACAACAATGTAATTAGATAAGTAGAACTCATAAATTGTCGTTAACTGTAAGAATCAAGAATGTGAAAAAATACGATTCTCAACCATACCTGATGTATACATTTTAATATATTTAATCTTATATTATGTAACTTGTACTTTTCGGTTTTCACGATTACAAAAGTAGGGGGAGTGAAAAATCGTAATTCGTAATAGACGGGAGTAAAAATAATAATTAGTGATACCTTATAAATAATAATCCTAATTGAAATACGTTATGTGAAACAAACTAATTTGTAATATAATAATATAATAAGTTATAAATATGAAAACATTGAAATTTGTAAGCGTTATTTTAAAAACGTCAAAAACTATAGTTTTAAAAATTAAAAAATTAATTATATTTTTGGGTCTTGTTACCACCGAAAATTAATACAATTAAATTCTACATAAGCCCATGATTCATACCTAATTGATAACATAGAATAACAACAAATTTATATTATTAACTAATCTTAAACATAAAATATCATTTTTTACTTTTTAGAGTTCAAAATTTGAACTTTTATTTTTATTGAATTTAAATCTATTAAATAATTAAAAATAATTTACCTACCTATGTATCCTAATATTAAAATAATTATTTTAGATGATAACTTAATAATAAATAGTCATAATCATAAATATTAACTAAACACAAGAATATAGTGTTTTCTAGATAAATGTAATAAATAATAATTAATACTACTGATTAATTAAATAAATATTTAATTTATTAGGTATTAGATAGCATCAATAGTATTTTAGGAAGAATATTATCATATATGATCCTCGGTGGAATGTTGATTAGCTTGCAGCATATTTGGTCCTTGACCCTCTAGGCCACACCCAGTCTAGTGTGTATGAAGAGGCCTCTTCTTATATCAATGTATATTAAAAAAAAAATATGTGCTAATACAGATCAATTTTATTGATGATTTTGCATGAGTATTAATAACTATATTGGTACCAAGATACTAATTACTGATAACAATGTTCATTTTTGTTTCAATGACTACCTATAATATTTAGAGTAGGACAATAAGTCATCAGCAATGACTAAGACTAATACAAACCACTAAGGTTCATGTGATATGGCAATTGTATACATTATTTTTTTGTCAGTCTAGGAACTTTTAAGTATGGTCTTACACAAGTCAACTGTTAATGTGGGATACCTTTTCAAATGGCAAGAATGTTGTAGGTCTTCTTTTTACAATCCAGTGTTTGACCTTATTGATTGTTTTCAAAAGCATAAACATAAGAGTGATTATTTAAATGTATAATATAATAGAAATAAAACTGACATTATACATTTAATTAAATGTTAAATAAGCAGTGGATTATTAACTAATTATTAAGAAATTATAACAGTGAAGTAACCTACCTAATTTAATTTATTTGAAACTTACTACTTTACAACTTACAATTATTGTAATTGAATCAATTAAAATTTGGTTTAATCTTTAATTATTTTATTTAGTATCCAAGCAATGTATTAACACTATCACAATTATACAGGAAGTTAATCTTAATAGATTCATAAATCATAAGTATAAATACAATTAATTTTTGTTATATAATGTTTGGTTTAGACAATATAATATTTTCTAGATAGGTATTAGGCAATAAATTATGTATCATTTTAGTATTTAAATTCAACATAAATTATATTTACCTACATAATATTTAACTAAATGACTACCAACAATTTTTGTTTGATAGAGGATAGTTTACCCAAACTACATATTATTAACTTTCATCCAGGTTTGCCATAATAATAATAATTAAATACAATGAACAGGTAAACAGGTTGTTGTTTTCTCCAATAAAATTCCAAAATAGTTTGTAAAGTATATATCCCACTAGGCAGTGGGTACAATATTATAAAAAGGATATTTTAATAAATTATATGATTAAATATTGAAAACAAATATTATACTATTTATACTACAAACAAAGCACATTATTTTCTTTATACAATCCTACTTAGTTATACTTCAATTATTTGCTTATAGTACACCTGTGCATACATTCTAATGTAATTAAAGTAAAATTTGATTTTGAAGTATGTACCTAATACACAAATACATTCCCTCACAAAAAAGTTATAATTTATAATATGAAGTTAATAGAATACATATTAGAACAGTACCTATCTCCTTTATACAAACCAAAATTCAACTAAGTTAAGCCTGAATGCTTCATTTTATTATTAGGTAATGTAAAACATTACAACAAGTTGTATAGTTAAATTATATCATATTCTAAGAAGTAAAAAAAAAAGATTCCTCAAAATATGTGATATTCACATCAGTATTATTAAAATAAAAACTCACATTTGTGTAATCATATAGGTAATGAATAACAGTATAGAATGTACAAATAAATACTCACGATCTTTTAATTTAATTACCTGACAGTATTCTTTTAGCGAGTCAAGGATTATTTTTGATTTACAAAATGGAGCAACAGTGCAAATAAAACAGTGCATAGGTTTTCAGGTAAGAATAATGTAGGTTATTCATAATCAAATGAGCAATCAAATTTCTAACAGTTACACTTACTAAAATATTTTCTCAAATGGGTAGTACATAATATTGGATTTCATAGTTTGATGTACATTTTCTGCAGTTAGTAACCTTAAACGAGCTAAATTGAAAATATTTTTCAGTTCACACTTCATTAAGATTATGTACAAATAAGAGTGGCCAGGATGACTAAATAAATAATACTACTGGTCTTATTTTTATTTTTTACCTACCAATATATTATTTATTATTTTAAATTTTAAATATTTACTTTATTCAAGCGGTACTTTACTTATTGTTGTTCTATAAACCCCCTTTCAATTGCCTCTCTCATTTTCTTGATCTGAATTTACAACAGACTGATGTGAAATGTATGCACTGATTAAAAAAGTAAAATATCAGGTATTTATTGATAGGATACCTTGTGTAAATTGGCAGCAACAAATAATATTCTTTCACCTACCGAAATTAACAAATAGATAGAACTATTTACGAGTTTCAAGCCGATTTCATTATTACAACGATTTATACGTTTATCAGCCATAAATCAGTAGCCAGGTATTGTCGATAATAAATCGTTATCGCTTTGTCGGGTGGCGAAATGAAAAAAAACTACCTATATCCAATATTAGTAGCAGTTTGTTCGCACATGGTGTTTTGGACAGAAATCGTTTCTCCGCCTTGTTAATAAATCACACAGTGGCGAACATCGAAATAGATACCTATCTGGTTTCCGTGCAGCAGATAATTTCGTAGGTGAATATTATCATTATTACCTGGTGCGCAAAGCGTCGTTGAGCGATGACTGTAGTGGTTCTGCGGACGGGCCCACTATCCAGCTTCAGGGATCCAGGACTGTCGATCGAGGGTTATATTTTACTCGGCAATAACACGATTCTCGGCACGACAACAAAACGGTCATAAAAATATTTGACGTTCCGATAGACTCTCTTCTCAGTTCTTTATCAATCCGTTATCAATATTATTGACATGGCACAGGTGTGGGGTACCTCCTCTCGTCGTCGCGGCATATCATGTTATTTTATGGCATTGTAATTATTAACATTACCTACTGTAATTTTTTAACATATTCTTATTTCTTTTCACTGTAAAAAACCGGCACCCAACACGGTCGGCGAGATGAAGAAAAAAAACCGTCGGCGGTTATGGTTAATAATAATTACAATATAATATTACTACAACAATAACATAAAATTCGACGTTAAATGCACGACGACGGCCGTACCGGTCCGACTGTGGTGACGCCGAGTAGTGCCGAAACTGAACGAACGGGCGGCGGCGGCGGCCAGATGATGATGCGTGGACACGTTCGCGCGATACGGAGGTATTTTTTAAAACATTTCCTTCATTCCTTGCTCTGCCGGCCGACTTGACTCCGACGTCTTTGCCAATCGCGCGCGCCATCTACCGCCGGACTTGTGAAAATATGAACTACGCGGTATAATATAATAATTTTATGTAAGCGGTACATATTTTTATCCGTATCTATAGCAGAGGAAATATCCATCTATGTCTGAGGAAATTTTCTTTTGGACCCGAACCTAAGAAATTTCTTAAGAATTTTCTACGATTTCTACTTTTGAAATAAATTTCCAATTAATGGGAATTTGTATTATAATTTGTAAGTCATAAATCATAATAAAAGTTCATACATAACACTACTCCCAATTATTCAAACATGAAAATGTATTATACCTACTATATTAGTTTTAAAAGTTTATTATGATATTATTGATACGATATATATTTTCAGAATTTTCCATTAAGAAATATGAGGAAATTTATTAATGACTTCTAAAATATCTTCTGCACAACATGTCCTACCATCTACCGACGAGATCAGATACCCATTTGATGAAAGTTTGATCCATTTTTTAGGAGAAACAGAAAACTGAGAAAACTAAATATGTTTGTAAAAGATAAAACAATAGGTATTATGAGAAACATATCAAAAAAATTAACAATTTGGGAATGGAAAATAGTAAGTATCTGTGGGAAATATTCCTGATAAAGCCCCGAATATGTATTTCTATAATTTGGGAATAATTATAAGGCATCAATAAAGTTAAGAGCTCAACGACGAATCTCCTCTATTTATCCAGATATATTGAAACACAGGGTGGTTGCGGCGCCGTGACATCAAATGACCAGAAGGTTGCTCGTCAATATAAATTACCTAATTTATGAAAAAAAAATATAACATAACATAAATATATTGCATGCTACTCGGAATGAATTATATACGAGTATATAAGAGTGAAATTGGAAGTTATATATCATTATTATTATAGATACTAGGCACGGTGTAGATAACCTTGGTTACCGGTAAATAGGCATAACCAACTTGCGTTATTAATTATTATTATATACCCACCTAGCTACCTATATTACTTTGACTTGAATCAGTCACAGTTTTATTTTCGAGGTTTGCCAACTAATTTTGACAATACTGACTAGTTTACATATCTTATGACAAAATTTATTTCTGAATTTCAAGTTGTCAAATATCTCAAACTTCTTGCTTTACGCAAAATGGAAGTTTTAATAATTTTTGACAATGTCGTAGTTAGAATTTGAATAAAAATAACATAATAATATAGTGTTGTTAGACTTGCCACTTGTAAGTAAATGTCAGACGCATTAATGCCTTATTAACCAAAACAATACATTTTTACCTAACTCTGCAGGACCTATTTTTAGAATTCCAACAAAATAACTGAAATCGAATTCGTTGAAAACTCAATTATAAAAGACTTTTTTAATTATTTAATGTGTATTTTACAGCAGTATTTCGTTGCACTTAGACAAGAGGCAATTAAAATCAAAAAGTATTCAGTTTAAAACACCAACCAGAGAACATTAATTCTAATCGATACATTAAGTAATTTGAAACTTCTTTCGTTCTTCTATACCAGAAAACAATATAACAGACCAAAATATTATTATTTTTTTTTAAAACACGTCTCATTGTTGTTTAACAATACACTCCTCTGTTCGCTTATAAAGAATTTGATATTCATTTTTAACGAATCTTATTCTTCTTTCTAATTAATTTAATTCAAACTAGTTTCAAAATAACTTAACCAGCCTTGGAAACCGAAGTAGGTACCTAGCCACGTGGGTGTACTATCCTATATGTTATATGTATAGTAATATTGTAATGTATACAATGTATTATGCAATATGTTTACATCTGGACCTTCCTATATGGGAAATGTAAAGGTCTAACTAGTAACTAGTAATGCTCAACATACCAAACCCATTGAAAATATTTTTAGTAAACTATTATATTTAAATTATAAATTGTCTTATTTCTTCTGTTCAGTGGCAGTTCTGTAAATTGTATAGATCAAACAGGCAGCTACCAGAAACAATTTTTTTTGTACCTATAATAATAGCTTTCAAATATTAAAAATGAAGTGTTTTTGTGTAACGATAAAAATATAAAATTCACTTTAGTTTTAAATGGATTAGTTATAAGTTCCAACTTATAAGTATTCTAAGTTTAAATGAGGTGAGTGGGGAGGCGTAGGATTATATCACAAAATGTCAGACTCATGTTTATATGCTGCTCCTCAAAGTTCATGTAAACTTAAATATATGAGAAGGTTTCTTGATTCCTAATTATTCATATATATACTGAAGTAACTGTAGATATAGAACTGACAGAACAAATTAAGAACTAGGTAACTAACAATGTGGCTAAAATAAATTTGATTTTACTCAAAAACAGAAAAAAAATGTATTTATGAATTTTTAGGTAGGTATGTTTAAAAAAAATAACATTAATAAGAACATAAGTTATTTTATAGTTATAGTTAGTTACATTCGTCGATTATAATTTATATTTGTGTTACACTCTGTATAATTATGTACAGGCAGGCACGCCCGGAGGAGGGGGCAGGTGGTGCAAATGCACCACCTGAGAATTTTAATAATTTGGATTTTTCAAATAAATAATAAAATATAAAAATTCCTTCTCTGTAAATTTTTAATTTATGCCCATGATTATTCCCAATATAGTAAATATTAAATACTTATTAGCTATTCAGGCATCTGACTATTCTGAGATACCACCGTCTGCCGCATTTTAGTACTGTGTACAGCCACGTCTAACCACGCGTCTATTATTAATACATTTATTTTGGTCATCAATAATATTATTATGAATTTCGTTATCTGACATCTATTCTGTGGTACACTATTATTTATATATATATATATATATGTGTGTGTTATACATCTAAAATTTTATCTAATTTTTATATTTTATAAGAAGTAATAAATAAAATGAGTTATGTTTTAAATATATTTTGTTATGCCAATTATTGATGATAAATAATATATGTCATGTAATAAGTTTAAGTTTTAGGGGGTGTGGGGGGCAAAGCCCCCCACATCTTATATTGTTATTTAAAATATTTTGCACCTAGTGAGCTACATCTCTGCTGGCGTGCCTGTGTACAGGTACTATTAGTATAAGTTATTCATAATAATTAACTGCTCGAAATTCATCTTCAGAAAAATATTTTGCTTTGTAGTATGAAAATGTGAATGCATGTTGTCAATTTTGTCGTCAAATTTTCAATGAGAACATTTTTTAAAAAAAAACGATGATTAAAAATTTTTAAAATTTGCATAGAAAAAATATTTTCAAAGTTATTATTTAAGAAATAGATACTAAAAGCAACTTTAAAATTATAATACATAAGTACTTATTAACATTTAACAGGTAGGACTTATTATTTTCGATAAGTTAACATTATAATTGTAAGTTTAGAATTTGGTTAATCTTAATTGTTATATTTATTTATGACATACACACATACACTTGTATAACTAAAGATTTTACAATTTTTAGGTGGTTTTATATTCTGTTTTTTTCGACTTCAGTAAACTAGATTTATAAATCTTTCTGAACACAGAAATAGGTACACTTATTGAGAACATTTTACAAATCCATTGTGCGTCAAAAAATAATTAAAATGATCATAATGGTATTATCTTAATCTTATAGGTATTATATTATATTATACTTAGGTATATCCATGTACTGTATATCGTACATAAATTACGATAATATTATATTATGGTATGTATAGCAGTGGTCGAAGTGGCTTTCATAATTTATACAGAGTTCTCACATATGATATATCATTTATTCATTTACGTACTAAATAAGTGGAGGAATAGAAAATGTGAATTATAAAAAGTGGAGGGATGCCATCCTACCGTATCCCCGCTTTCACCACTGTGTTTATGTGTATTGGGTTTATTGGTATATTGGCATATTGGCTTTTCGGGGTGGTTAAAAGCCCCCACCCATGTATGTATCATCTGAAGTTGGTGAATAAATGTTACGGGTTCTGGTGACGGTATTGTGATTAACAATTCCCACCCGGTTCTTGTTTTTTTAAGAAAAAAAAAAGATATACTGAATGTAATTATATCGGCTATATAATAAGTAGTATTATAGTAAAAACTATATTATGTACCTATACCTCTTCAACATTACAACTAATAATATATAGGTAGGTGCCAATGTGCCATACAAAATATTACAAAATAGTCTACTATACGTCTATACTTATACGGATTTACGTCCTTAAATGTATAACTGCAGTTCAGTACCTACCGCTACAACTATAACATAGTCGAGTAGACTTAGTATATTATCGCTCATAAAATTAAAACAATTGTTGTGAAACTTAGATTAGTACAGTATTTAGTAATATGATATATTTTATGATTTGGTTATTGTTTTATTTGTTTTAACAACCTAACATTTACATTTTTATTTTACATAATTATACAAGTGTTGAAGTGTTAATATTTATAAGCATGTACAAATTAATAATGGTGTACCAAACTTTAGTTTGAGCAGTTTGGCGAATGACTAAAATGAATTCTTATTATGGCTGATGGATGATGGGGTCTCTGGAGTCTGGGTCCTTATTTGAAGTAGGTGTATGTATATACTTACAAATTAAATGTATATCTGTTCATAAAAATACTGTCGTCACCATATAATGTGGTCAAACGTCAAATGATAGCAATTAACAACTTATAAAATATTGACGATTTACACGATTACTATTTAAGGTTTATACTTTATTATTAGCCATTCACATAAAAATAATAGTCACATAGTTTTGGTATTATTATGTCACCACCCATTCAAAAATCGCATTTTCTAAACTTTATTATAGTATAAATAAGTCGCCTATATCTAATAATATTTGACATATTATTGACTTTTTATCAAA